TTATTTGTTTCTTTAATATTTAAGAAAAAAATCGACCAAATCTTGTAAAAATATGATTTATTAATAGATAAGTACAAAAAAGGGTGAAATCATTATCTTAAATAACCAAAACATTTGAATTGGTTGGAAAGGCGGGCGGTTTCTATTTTTTCCAAAAACATTCTTCATTCTATTATTTAGTTGGGCGGGAATTGAAATCATTTTTTTTGCTGATTTTTTTTATCTTTTTTCAAATAAATATCATTGCCTCTTTATATATTAATAGATTTAATAAAGAAAAATGAGTAAATAGGATAATATAATCAAATATCATAATTAAAATTACATTTGATAATTATTGAAATATATAATTTATCTAAATATTTCAATTGGATATTAATACACTCATGTTGAATAAATTAATAAATTTATTAAATCCTCCATATATATAATTCTCGAATGCGTTGAACATACGTGGTTGCTTCTGGTGCTTTGGAATCCTACTTGGCGAAGAATCATGCTTCGTAATTAAGTTTGGATAAATAATATTGATATATTAATAATTAATAATCTATGTTCGGACATTCCATAAATATTATTTAGCCAACTTAGTTATTTTAATATCACTTGTACTAATATAACCCTTTAATTCTTTGTAATTTTACATAGTGAGACACAAAGTGACTAATATATCCCTGACTTTTGATTTGTTTCCTACAATTAGCTATTGAATTGTAAATGTATTTTAAAAGTTGATAACTTTTGTATTTCTTATCGGTTTTACATATATAATATATCAATTTAATCATCTTTTGATGATCTTCGATTTGACATCCATATTGTATATATGAAATAAATAAATTATATTTATCTTTATAAAAATAAAAAAATATTAATATTTATTAAAATTCATTAGAAAAATAAAATTATTTCTCAATTGATATATTTATGTTTAATGTAGTTATATGTTGTAAGTAAAAAAGATCGTCCCTAAATATAATTCCCGAATGCGCTGAGCCTACGTGGCTGCTTCTGGTGCTTCGGAATCCTACTTGGCGAAGAATCATGCTTCGTAATTAGGTTCGGACAAATAATATTGATATATTAATAATTAATATCTAGGTTCGGACATTCCATAAATATTATTTAGCTAACTTAGGTATTTTAATATCACTTGTACTAATATAACCTTTAATTCTTTGTAATTTTACTCAGTGAGACACTAAGTGACTAATATATCCCTGACTTCTGATTTGTTTCCTTCAATTCGCTATTGAATTATAAATGTATCTTAAAAGTTGATAACTTTTGTATTTCTTATCGGTTTTATATATATAATATATCAAATTAATCATCTTTTCATGATCTTTGATTTGACATCCATATTGTATATATAAAATAAATAAATAATATTTACCTTTATATTAATAAAAAATAATATTTATTAAATTTTATTAGAAAAATAAAATTATTTCTCAGTTGATATATTTTTGTTTAACACCCGTGTATTACACGGGTGCTTGTTATTATTCTTAAATTTTTAAATTAATGAGAAAATAATATTAAATTTAGTTTACTTTTTTTTAAAAAAAATATATATATTACTATATATTTTAGAATGTTATGTGTTACTTATGACTTATATGTGTTATATTATACTACCTCCTGTTCATTATAAATGTCGTTTTGACTTTTGTGATTCATCCATTTTGTTATGTATCTAGACATAATGTCTAGATACATAACAAAATGGATGAATCGAAAAAGTCAAAACGACATTTATAATGAATAGGAGGGAGTATTAGTTTTTATAACTTATACTACCTCCTATTCATTATAAATGTCGTTTTGACTTTTTTAATTCATCCATTTTGTTACGTATTAATGTCTAGATACATAACAAAATGGATGAATCAAAAAAGTCAAAACGACATTTATAATGAACAGGAGGGAGTATCATATAACTACTTGAAATATAAATATATTAGTTAATAAATAATTTTATTTTTTAAATTAATATTAACAATAATTTAATTATTGTTATAAGATAAATATAAATTATTTTTTTTTTATACATACAATATGGATGTTAAATCGAAGCTCATCAAAAGAAGATTAATTTGATGTATTACATATGTAAAACTGATAAAAAATACAAAAGTTATAAACTTTTAAAATATATATACAATTCAATAGTTATAATAAGGAATGATATAAAATACAATTAATACATGTAACATGACCATAAATAATCAACATATTTATGGTAATCCGAACCTAATTATTTTTGGTTTATAATTAAATTAAAATTTACCCAAGTCTAATAACGAAGCATGTAATTTTGCAACATATGATTCCGAAGCACCAGAAGCAGCCACGTAGGCTCAGCGCGTTCTGTATTAATATATAGGGGGATATGTTGGAAGTTAAAAAAATTATTATGATATAACACAAGTAAATCACATAAATAAAAAGTGTCATACTAAATATATAATAATATATATTTTTATAAAAGTTATTTAAATTTTCAACTACTTTTTCTCAATAATTTTAGATTTTAAATAAAAAATTAGCAAGCACCCGTGTAATACACGAGCGTTGTACTAGTATTATAATATAACACTCGCAAGTCGTGCAAGTAAAAAATGTCATACTAAATATATAATAATATCTATTTTTAATTTTTTATAAAAAGGTATTTAAATTTGCAACTACTTTTTCTCATTAATTTTAGATTTTTAGGAAAAAATTAGCAAGCACCCATGTAATACACGAGCGTTGTACTAGTATATAAATATAGAAAAAAAATTATTACAAATTTATTATATATGTTGAGCCCTTTTTGTGCCCTTACCATTGGTTCTCTTGTGTTTCATCTCTAGCCTACCCCAATTTGCTTGGGACAAAAATACTATGTTGTTGTTGTATAAATATAGACAAAAAAATTAAAAAAATAAATAAATAGTTTGTAATGAAAAAAATTTGTTGCATAAGCGATTAAACTTATTACAATTTAAATTTAATTATTAAACAATTAATATTTCATGCATCTAAAATTATAATTACATAAAATAAATTTTATACTTAAAACATTAGTTAGCTATCGAGCAATATACAAAATATGAATTGTTGAAAAAGTTACACGATCACGATAACAGTAATTTTACAAGTATATGTAAGAAATTTGTATACAAACATCATATTTAAAATTTGGATATTGATACTATTTTATAAACTTATTAATAGTATCATTTATATATGAAATAATCAAAACTGTAAAATTAAATTTAAAAAGATATTCAAACAAAATTTATATTATTATAATGAGGATATAATTATCACTCAGTTCATCACTCTATTCGCTGCCTCCGGCCAGCTGGACGAAGCCATCGGGTTGAGGACGCGGGCCGGGTTCCTGAGTCGATCTATGTGTCCGTGGAGATTGGGTTCTTGAAAAAAAGCCCGTTTCTGGGAGTCCCTCTTCATGTACTGTTAGATGGTGTCAAGGGCTGGGAATTTTACGCTAAAGGCTTGCTTGGCTGCATTGGATTTCTGGAGCAGTAGAGCTGCGCATGGACGGATTGTGAAAGGCGGGCGATAATCCCCATCAGGTGGTGTATAGTGCTCTTTGAAATTCTACAGTGAGTGTGAGAGGCTTAATGACGTGTTGAAGTGTTTGACAAAATGCCCAACTGAAATTTATTGCAGGGGTGGGTTCTTTGTGAGAGGCCAAGGCCTTTGAAACTATCAGGAAACTGCAGAGGGAGAATGGGGTGTTTACATGGGTAAGTCTACCTGTGGTTCTATTGATCTGTTATGGCACTTTATATCGGTAAAGAGGTCATGCCGTTGTTGTGTTGAATTCACGTTTGGATAATTAGTCAAAATGTGGAAATGATTTGTTATGGTTCTATTGATAATGATATATTTGTTCATGACATCAGATGAGGAAATGAGGGTAGAGTTGGTCTGTGGGAACAGTGAGAGGCTTTTGGCGCTATTACCTCAATTTATACGAGAAATGGATAGTCGATCAGAATTACGAAGAACCGGGCAACACAAGTTGAGATAGATTGGGAGAAAGATTATCTGGAGAGACACAAACCTTCTTCATAATTTTGAAAGGGAAAGCGAGGAACCCAGCTGTAAGTGTAAAGCTATCTGATCGACAATATGATCTGCTTAGCAAAAGTTTATGTTTGATATTAATAAGGACGACTCATCTATCTTATCGTAATTCATTATGATGTTTGTAAAAACTTATGCTTGTAGAAGGAGCAATTAGAAATGCAGAATCTAGAGAGTAACTAAGATCCAATTTCACAATTCAAGGGTAAGAAATTAAATAAAAATAATGAAATAAACCGAATTAGAATGTCAAACAAATATCTCAGGCTCAACATTTTGTATCTTGTCTTTAAATTACATAATCCCTGTCCTCTTTGGTAAACTGCAAACTAAATGCTAGGAGGAAATACTATGAGCACCAAAAATTTCATTTTCGCCTACGAAGATTGTATCTCTTGCTATTTGAACTGCTTGCTGAGGAATCATCCTCGATTTCATTAGGTAATAAGTAGTCAGGGTCTTCTGACAGGTTCACCTCTTCAGGTAACTCAGTATCGACCCATGAAGACCAGTTTACTTCGCTGTCAGCATCCATGTCGTCCCATGACAATAGCCCTTTCCCACTTTGCATTATATTCACTTTCTCCATCAGTGTCAGTAGCATTTGATGGTTAAGCACTTCATAATCCCTGCCACCATTTTGCATAACATTCATATAAACGTCAATATAATCTGTCTGTTTACTTCCAGGCATAATTATGAACTTACTCCTTTTCTAGTGTGGCCTTTTTAAATTAAAATTATGCCAAAGCCAAAAGGGTATTTGTAATATTTGATAGATAATGGGAACCTGATTTTTTGTACATTGCGGTTGTAAAATTTCACCTGTAGGTAAAAATGGCATACAGATATTGGACGGACGCGAGAAACCAAAAGAGTGATCTAACTGCATGAATTATCCTCCCTTGCCTTTCAGCTTCAGTTGTTATATACCACAGTATAATTACTTCAATAAAAAATGCCACGCACAGACCTGCAAGAGAAATTCCATCAGCAATGGATAAAAACTACAATGTTGGGAGCTTTGAGAACTGTACACGAAAATTGAGGCCGTGACATAAAATCTTTACCTAAGTAGAGTCTGTGTCTCACGTTGTACGCTTGCTTTATGCTGGTCAGCATGTAGATGATAAAAATTGCTATAGAGTAGACAAAAAAAGTGATGATCACTCGAGACTCGAATAGCATGGCACTGTGTAGGGAAAATAGCTTGTCTATGGCAAGAAACATGCTTGCTTGCTTGGATTCAAATGCTTCCTGTAATTAGATTACGCATATGTAAACGAATTTGCGCAGCTCGTACAATTTGCTTTATAAAACATTTGCTTTATAAAACAAAACTGAAGTTTTTTGAAAAAAAAATATTTCGAACCTGTGCTGCTATTATTAGTTTTGAGTTTTCCACTAACTGATCATGAGACTGATGGAGCTGTTTTTGCTTTTGCAGTAGTTCCTCTTGCTGTTTGTGACCAAATTCAGCTAACCTCTGCAGAGTTTCCCTGTAAGTTCGACATTGTCACATTGATATGATATCTAATTATGTTACTGAAAATATGAATAACTGCAAAAGTAATCCTTGAGGTGTTATATTCTGATTGCATAATGACATATATATTTCAAAATTGCAAAAGCCCCCTTCAACTGTTAGAACTTAGATGCTTGAAAATTTATATTTATGTATAAGGTTCCGTTTCTTTACAGCTTACAAAGTAAATTATGGGGAAAAGGAACAAACATCAAATTTTATTTATTTATTTTCACATAGGTCCTGTTAGTCTTCCATAGCTTCATGAAGAAATATATACAAAAAAAATGTACCTAGTAATAAATAAAATGAAAACTACCTGCTCTCTTCAAGGGCCTGGGACTGAAACTTGGTGAGAAAATTGAGGCCCTCAAGAGCAACTGACTGCCCATCCAAAAGCTGCTTTTGTTTGTCCAAGGATGTCCCTGCAATATCCCCAATATCATCTGCCTTGCTCGACAAAACACTCATCTTCAAAGACATAGCATCCCCAACTTTCCCAATCTCCTTCTCGATTTCAGCCGCTTCATTTCTCATATTTACTATTTCCACCCCCAAACTTTTATAGGAGTTCTCGAGAAGCACCATGCCTTCTACCAAACTTTCCTTCATTTTCACCTGGCCTTCCCTCAGCTCGACTTGAGAATCCTCGATCCCCTTAGACTGCTCGTGAATTTTTTCGGAATATTTCAAAACCGAGCTAACACGATCCTCGACCACCCTCGATGTTTTTGCAACTTGCTGAGTTTGTAAATCTATCGAGGCCAAGGATTCATGCACGTGTTTCGAGTTCTGGAGTAGTAGCTCCCCTTGTTCTTCTATCTTCTCCAATTTGACCTCAGCATATTCAGCTGTACTCTTTAGTTCATTTACCAGTCTCTCTGTTTGACGCTTAAATGCGTCCGACCTAAAATCAGTTCACAAAAAATACAGTTTTTCGCATGATCAAAATACAAAACATATCATGCATTATGATTTATAACTTTCGAAATTACACAAATTCTCCTCACAATTTTTTGTGCCTAAAAGAATCTCAGAAAGAAAGAGAAAGACTTACTGCAGCTGGTGACAAATGGAGGTGGTCTCGAGAAAGTACTTGAGAAAAATTTTGTCTTCATCTTCATCAAGATTGGTCAAACATTTCTTCATGATCGATTTGGGGTCGCAGTAAGGAAAACCGGGCCTGCCCGTGTGCCGTTGGAAGCAGTCGCTAAGAGCATGATTGGATACAAAAATTTCTCAAAAAAATCCAAACATTTTTAACTCAACCACTTTTTTAACTCTAACTTTAACTCAACCCACTATCATTAATATTATCAATATAGTTAAATAATATCAATCAATCATTCTTACACACAACATCAACCTTAATTTACTATTCATCTACTCACATAAATTTAACTAACTATCACATCACATTTTCTCTCTCTTACTTTTACATCAATTTAATTTTAATTATTTTATTTTAAATATTATTTTATTATATCCACTAACAACTAACCATACCTACTTTTTCAAATTTAACCAACCCAAATCAAAACAAAAACAAATTTATATCCAAGCATGCTCTAAGATGCCAGGCGAGGCAGGTCCGCAATTCTTGGTCGGCAAGGGTTTTCGAGCAACCTCCGAACACATTTTCGTAGGCGGCCTGCCAGCACGAGTCTGGACCTTGCATTTTGATCTTCGCCTTACCGATGAGCTGTACGCCGTTTGGGTCGTGGAGGGCTTCCATGGAGAATTCTGAAAAGGCTTTTCCAGACATCATCGCGTCGTTCGTGCCCGAGTGAGTTTCTTGTTTGGGCGAAAAGAGAAACCAGCTTGTTGATAGTGGTGCTTGGGATAAAAATAGGATGACGGTTGAAAACATGAGAAGACGATGATGATGGTAATGGTGAAAGGCCATTTTTGGCAAACCCTTTTTTTTTTTTTCACCTGTGATAATACATTGGATTAGCAGCCGTTATTTGCAGAATCTTTGATAAAAGGAAACCTTAAACAATACAGAGATAGTTGAACGTTACGAAGTGAGTTTCCAAACCAAATTTCAGGCTTCAACCTCGTAATCTTAAATTTCTTTAATAAAACATATTTCTTTCCTTATTATTCATTTCGAGTTCAAAACTTATATTTTCCTAAGTTAGACTTAGCATAAGATTTTCCTACTGTAACAATCCCAGGAGACAGCCAAAAACATGCAAATTATTTGAATTATTCAAATGAAAAATCATGTTAAAGAATTTTAAATAAAACCAAGTAAACATCATAAAGACGGCGACTACTATGTTGGATTTCCTTTCAGCTGCACCCAGCACCTCTCTAGTTTCTCTACGAGATGGAGATGGCTCATTCTCTAGTTTTCCTACGAGATATAAGTAAGTTTCTATCGTACTTTTAAGTTCAGGAAGGAGTTATTAATTAAGAAGAAGAACTACACCGGCTGACCTCCTGTACTGGCTTGACTGTATTGACTAGTAAGGATTGCCCCTTTCCTTTTTAGTTACAGAAACCTTAGGCAAAGAGCTTTTCAAAGGCGGAAAATCTAAGATTACAAGCTTGCGCCATTCTACAACTATTTTATGGAAATAATGAGTGCTACCGCACACATTTAGGTCACCCCTCATCCTTTATTTGGACTAAAAGAAGTCGGAATGTAAATTATAACTGGCCTCCGTTTCCAGATTGTTTATTGCATTGAAGTTCATGGATAAATGATTTCATTTTTAGTGAGCTTCAGTTACTGCAAATAAGGGCTTCCATGCATTAATGTATGCAATAATTTTCTGAAATATAACCTGTGTAAAATCATGTAAGTGGTAGATTGGATCAATCTTTGGTCTTATATGTGGCTAGAATTTATAATCATGTGTATGAATGTAGGAATGAATTGAATGATGGCTGTTCTCAATCAGAGGAAATGCTCTCCATGTTATATTGTATGGCTATTGTGAGGCAAGTGATTCTTTTTTCCTCTCTGATTTGTCTTTTTTATGGGCTTTATGCATAACAATTTGAACTGTTATCCTCAATCCTGACTTTTCCTGTTACTTCCTCAAGACTTGTAAATGGCATGATGGAGAAAACTCGGAAAAAGAATGAAATTTCAATAGGGGAAGCAGCTGATGTCTTCGGTATTCCAAGAATAGTTATTGACGTTCGTCATGGTAAATGCACAATGAAGTTTATACCCAACTGCACTATCCTTTTTATGTGTAACTTTTTGCTAGTAAATTGCCGGCGAAGTATGTTCTTGTGTTTATTCCAGTAACTTGAAGTTCTATCTGGTCTTTGAACTCTTGTAGAGGGTTCCCATCGTGATCTTCCTTCTCTTCAACTGGTCCGTATTGCATCGATTAAGGTAATGTCTCACTCTAAACTATTCAGTTTGTGTTTTCCTAGTATCAGGTTCTATATGCTGAAGTTGCTTGGTTTTTGGTAGGTTGTAATATACTTCTCTGTTAGTTAATGTAAGTGACTGCTCCATGAAAAATTTCATCAACCCAAAAAAATGCCAGCATTATGCAATCATGAATAATTACATTTATTACTTCCTTTCTTGTTTCTTTCTTCGACTTCGTCAAAATCATATTTGTCAGATAATGTTTATATATGTACTTTATTACACTGTTAAAAAAAAAAAAAAACTAATATTGGTGGACCTTATTGCATTCTACCTTGATCCTCTACCACATCTCATTCTATAAAGTTAACAAAAACAAAACCAATAAACAGTCTTTATTTATGTAAAACTATCTTTCTTTTGTTCACCTTGTAAAATAATGATTTTTCTTCAGACATCAATGTAGGCTCTCCTGTTGGAAGAAGATCTAATGACATCACCTATACTTGTGTTGAGCTTCATTGTCTCATTTCTTGTCTTTAGAACCCATTAGTGCAGAATTTAATCTCAATGCATTGGATCATTTTTAATAATGCAGGCACTTGATTGGTTGGTATGGTATTATTGGGAACCCCAAGAGAAAGCTATCCCTACTCAAAACAACCTTAATGCCAACCTCAGGAAAGAAATCAAGCGCAAATTACGTGAAGCTGCTCTCTGTCTGAGAGGGAAACATATAGCAAACTTGTCAGACGTGAAAGGGAAACATATATGATGGAGACGAGACCGCGATAGCGTTTTTAAATAAATATGATCGTCTTCGTATTTAGTTCGGTTCATTTCTCTTTAGTAGTCTTTATTTATTATTGGGCTCTTTTTATTATTATTATTAGTGTTGGGCCTTTTTGGTTATTTACTGAACTTTTAAGATTAGGGATTTCTGATGTATTAAAGGATCGTCTTCTCACTTTGAGAAGACAGACTTGATTATTGAAAATTTAAGATTTCTCTTGAGAATTGTTCGTGTTCTTCCCAATCATACATACGCTCTACATCAGTTGGTATCAGAAGTCAGCACGATCACGATGCTACCGCGCCGACGAGATGCTGCAGACGACAGGCGTGACGCCGCCATCTACGAATTGAGCCGCCATATCGAGGAGTTTGGCCGCGAGCTCAAGACGATGCGTCGTCAAGTTGCAGATCTGTCCGCGGAGATCGGGGACTATCGTCTTACTCTCCGTACCATGATGCACGTGGATTGGCAGACGTACCGTGACGCCGGCGACCGGGGCGTGCACAGGGGATTTAGCGGCGGCCGTGGTGGGCGTGGTCCAGGCGGGGCGCCCCGCGGACGAACACCACAACTGCCGTCCGGCAATGACGACGGTGAGCAGGTGGAGGGTCGGGAGTACGACGGTCCACCGATTTTTTACGAAGAGCCACTCGTGGCGGACGACGACGTGGCAGAGGTGATGCTTGGCTCGGCCGAGTCCGAATGCCCCCCGATGTTTGATGAGGAGCCACTCGTGGCGGACGTGGCGGAGGAGAAGTTTGGTTCGATCGAGTACGAGGGCCCCCCAATTTTCGACGATGAGCCGTACGTGGCGTACGACGGTCCACCAATTTTTGATGAGAAACCGGAGAAGATTGGAGAGAAATTTTTGTATGACGTTCCTCATCCAAACATTCTTTATATTTGTGATGTTATTGATGGATTCGTGATTCTGACTGTCAAGTATGAGGTCATTTTGAGATGGACCTTCAATTCGACTTATACATTCAATTTTACGAAGGATATGGCCTGAATCGTGGTTTTTTTTTTTGTGCGGCTCCTGTGGGTTTGACGGCATGGTCAATGCGCCGTGTTGGATGCAAGGGCAAGGAACGGCTTGGTCTCGTCGTCTCGGATTCGAGGGCGAATCCTCCTCAACCGGTGGAGGATGATAGAGAATGAATATTATTAATATTATTATTATTATTATTATTATTATTATTATTATTATTATTTTTATTATTATTATTATTATTCCTTTTATGATTAGTAGTTAACTGATAAGAGAATAATTACTTGCTTAGTGGACAAGTAAATATTTATCTAGCTTGTTGGGCAAGTTTAGGAGACTAAGATTAGGATTATTATATATTGTTCAACCTCGTGACTTTGATGGATGGTTAATTAATGAATAAAATGATATTGTTCTTGGTATTTTGAGACTGTTCTCAATTTATCGTTCCACTCGTACGCTTCCCTACATCAATATAGCAACCTTAAATTTTTGTGAAATATTAGGAGCACATTTCATATTTATATACACACTCACACACACGCACGCACATGCTGCATTTCTACCGATATATCACCTCATTCATAATGGTTGATTGATTATATTTCAGGTTCTAAGAAGCATCTCGCGAAATCATTAAAAAATATCCTCCGACTGTATTCTTCATTTTCTTCAGAAGTAGTTTATATTCTATTGGAATACTTGCTAATGCATTGGATACATTTAAATCTGAGCACTTGGAGGATTCAGATATGGTGACCAATGCTGAAGATACGCAAACTGCGTTTGATGACTGTAAATCTGTCGTCTTGAAGTTGTCGAGAAAGGAACCAGAATATCTTATCACACTTACACAGGTTATTCTTGAGAAGATGGAGAGCAACGAAACCACGGATCAAATAACAGGTAACTATCAATTCAATCGTTCTCTTTTTTTCAGATTTTTCTGTGTTTGGTCATTTGAGTAGATTCTGCAGTTTTAAGGAGGATTGACATTTTACTAATTCATAGCATAATGTGATTATTCGGTGATAGTGATACACATTAGTATTCAGAAAGTCAATAATCGCTCGTAGCTCATCAAACAAAAGTAATATGTGGAATTTTGTTGCACAAGGGGAATAATAGTGATAAATACATAAGTTATCACTGAGGTTTATTCCTATAAACGGAGAGTCTTGTGATATATTATGTGGAAAGATAATTGTGTTTATTATCTGAATCTCAATGGTATAAATTGTCACATAATACTTTACCCTACATGTGTATGTAACTTCCTGTTTTCATCCATTACAACACTAATCCTTTTCTGAATCTTCACCAGATGAACATTGAACTCCCAAAAATCCCACAAAAGCTTGGCAAATCGAGTTACTCTCACATTTATTATCTTGGGTTATCGGAAACCTAAAGACACTAAAACTGGTTAGCCACAAAGAATCTTCCGACAGCGAAAAACCCAAGACTGAGAAAAAAGTACCCATGGAAACTGTACACTCCTTACTGCGTAAATGTCTTTTAATATCCTCTTTTGGAAACAAACAACTCATGAAATCAGCCCTTACTCTCTCACACCTTACTGGAAACATCTCTCTACTTGAAAAACTCAAGAAGCTTGCTTTACTCGAGCAGCTACCACATTTGGAAACAAACTCGGTTGACTATTCTAATGAAAACCTGCTTTCCGAACAAGAAAATTGTATTCGTCAGGCTGCTGAGGACTTTGAGTTCATGAAGCAACATATGAAGGGAAAATGTGGAGGGATAGACGAGTCTGAGGCTGGAGTCAAAAGAAAATGGACTGTGACAAAATCGTGGAATTCATGTCCTATTGGGATGTTGCCTTCTAGAATTGCGTTTTCCGGCCAGCTTTTGGTTTTGGACTGTGCTGATGAAGTTGGGGAAGAAAAAGAGACGATATCAGGTGGTGAAGAGGATTACAAAACGTCTCTTGGTAAAAGAGAGGCTGATGTGGGTGCAGAGAAAATTGATTGTCGACCGGGTAAGAAGTTGGAGATTGAAGGTCATAATGTCGTGCAAAATGAGGAATATGTGAGTGGAGAAGGTTCAAAAGGCTGGTTGTTGATCGATGAAATTTGGAGGAAAGTTGGAGATGAAGAGTTGTTTGCCATTTCATCGGCTGTGAAATTATTGGTTTGATAATTTTTTTCGACTAATATTTTTTGTTTCTGATACTGTGAACACTTGACAGTTTTGCATACATCTCTAATCGAATACACAGAAAGGCACAAGATCCTCAAAAAAACATAAATCATGATTTTTGCTGGCCATATTTGCTGCATCTCTCACACTCCAGCTCTACTCAGAGCCCTTACTCTATATATTTTTTCTTTCTTTCTTGTACACTTCCATGCATGCAGTCAGATTACTTTTTCGGTCTTCGATGGGATATTTGCGTTTTACAGCCTTGAATTACTCATATTTGCTATAATTAATGCACCTTAATTTGAAGCACTGAAATACCATTTATCACCTGCAAAACTAGTTAACTAGAGGTGACTAATTAAGGACCAGGCTCGGAGAGGGCCAGCTACGACCCACGGGCCGCACCTCATATTGGGACTAGGTCGAATCTAATTAAATGTAGATGACGATTTGAGTTTGAGCTGCTAGCTGGATTCTGAGGAATAAACTCTCAGGCATTGCGCTAGAAAGAGGTGAAGTTGTTTTGAATAATGAAAGGTGAATGATGAAGTGGAGAGCAAGAAAAATTATTCTAGTGAGGGGCAGTTATGAGGTGGAATCTGACTTTCAAATTGAACAAGAAATTGAGAGTGAAGAAGATGATGACGTGAGAAGATGAGAGTGAAGAAGGTTGTTTTACTTCAGTTTTACTCTAATTACTTCGACCGATTGTTGACCAGTTCGTTGACAATGGTTCATTCCAGCGAATCAAAATGGTCAACTGATCGGTTACCAATCCAACAGGTCAGACCAGCTGGTGCGGTCCGGTTTTCTAAACCAAGTCAGTTTCAGTTCGTTTTTTATTACTCCTAAATGTGAATGTGATTAAGAGGGTGAAATATTTAGTCCAGTACAGATGTAGCAAGTTTTATTTTATTTTTGATGATCCAGTATAAAGAATTTTAGTTCGTTATAGTGAATTTTCTTTTTATTTTCAAAATTGAAGTCAATCGGATTGTGAACATATATAAATTAGCATGACATTCATCGTACAAGTATGTATTTTTTTTTGTGGAAAAATATATTAATGGAATAATCACATTCTGTTTCATGAATCCTTGAACATGATTTCTATGTTACTATGATTTCTAATATATCACAATCTTCCACAATAGTTTTCTTGGTCAATATTGCATGCTTTCATATCTTAACCTGTTAAAAACTGTACATACGAAAAAGTTTGCAAATAAAATGTTTCAGCAATTACTTCAATAGTAACACACAGTGGGTTTCCAAAACACACTGGAGACTGACAGAGCACTAAAACATTTCAGATACAGAAATCAAATTGTACTGATTCAGATAGGACTTTACAGTTTACACCATCGCATAAGAGAAAACAAGCGAGAAGACTAGAAAAACTGTCCATAAATTTTCATCTGAGAATGAAATAGTTATTGGATGATCAAAAGCAACATGTAACAAGAAAACTTGTAAACGCGTACTAACCAGGAACCTTATCGTGCAAGAGTGGGCAACAGATCCTCCAATAGATCTTCCAATTTCGAATCTATGGTTGGTTTCTCCCATGAACCTTCAGAACTAATTTCCTCTAACATCTTCACTACTTCAGACATCCTAGGCCTGCGTTCAGGGACAGTGCTAACACATCCCATTGCTATTTGTACAGTCTGCTCCATTGCTTTCACATCATTTTGATAGCTGGTCGTAAGCTCAAAATCAAACACGTCGCCAATCCACTCTACACGACTAATGTATATAACCCAGTCAACCAGCGACAAAGTCTTGGATTCATCCCTACCGTCGGTTCCAATCCATCTTCGGGGGTATTGATTTAAGCTTAGAGATGTTTTTTTTCCGGTGATAAGTTCAAGCAACAGAACTCCAAAGCTGTAGACATCAGAAGATTGGGACACCTTTCCCGTGTCTATAAGTTCGGGGGCGCAATAGCCTGGAGTTGGCATAACTGATCTACTGACGGGACTCACCAGCTTTGCCAGACCAACATCGGATACTACACCATGTTCTTGTCCATTAAGGAAGATGTTTGAGGATTTAATGTTTCCATGAACGAGTTTCCGGCCATCTTGACTATGGATGTGAGCGATACCCCTGGCTGCATCCACTGCAATTTTCATGCGGCTCTTCCAGTCTAGACGTGTCTTACTCTTCCAGGGTAGATGTGTCTTATCAGTTCCTCGTTTCCCTATAATGTATGAAAAGAGTATTCGAGCATGATTCACAATCAGATTATCATATACAGTTTGTTAGGTAGCATTATATATAAGATTGAATAACTGCAGTTAAAATGTGAAAATAGAATGCTGCTTGTTGATGCATAACTAGATTATACAACATGAAGGGGAAGAAAAAGAAAAGGAACCAAAAACACGGCATTCTAGTGTTAACATTAAAGCTTCAAGTAATTTTTCATGAGGGATCTTTGTCTCTTTAGTTCATGCACACTCCATTATTCATAATGCACTGCCTACAATGAAGATTGCTTGCTACCAGTCAATGATAGAATGGATATACTAAAACCACCTGGAACTGCAATGTAAAAGCTAAAAGGGATACCGAATTTCCACAGAAAAAAAAAAAAAAAGTCAAGAATCATAACTTCAAGAATCAAGGATAAAATATTAACTAATTTAATGTTTTAATTTCCAGGTCAAAAGAAAGATGATTTCTTCACAATTTTTGTTGGAGACTCTATCCTTAGTAAAACAATGAAGCGTAGCTGCCAATGATTTTATTTTTACGTACCATGCAGCGCAACAGATAAACTGCCCTGAACATAGTGATCATAAACCAAGAGTGTTTCATCTGTCGAATAGTAGAAGGCCCTCACTGCAGCAACATTTTTGTGCCCCATTCTTCCAATGATATTCATATGTTGCTGAAAATCATTAAACGAAAGAACAACGCCCTTCATTCTCTTAACCACAATTTTGTTTCCAGGTTCCAAGCTTATCAAGGAAGAAATCCCAAATGTTCCTTTCACAAGAACCTCAGCAGAAGGCCTAAGCAGATCCTCAAGATTAAATGTGGGGTTAGGATCCTCAATAGATACAAGTTTTCTTGCCACAGGAGCATCACTTATGGGGGGGTACGAGGAACTAATTTCCTCTAACATCTTCACTACTTCAGACATCCTAGGTCTCTTCTCCATCGACTTCTCAATACATTTCATTCCTATTTGTAATGTTTTAACCATCTGCTCTTTTATGGGGGGTTGCTTCAACAGATCTGCATCAAATACATTAGCAGCCCTAATCTTGTTCCTTGTGGAAGTAACCATTTTGACTAGGTCAACAGCCTTCGGACCACCAAGGAAATGAACGCTGGGCTTTCTAGTGAGAAGTTCAAGTAACATAATCCCGAAGCTATATACATCTGATGCTTGGGACACATTCTTGGAACTCTTTACTTTAGGAGCATAGTAATATGCAGTTGGCACGAATGCTGTTTGTATCAAGCTAGTCGGACCGAGATCTGATACGCAGCCATACTGGTCAGGATTGCGAAAAACATTTGTCGATTTTACGTTTCCATGGACAAGTTTCCCACCATTATGTTTATGTATTTCAGCAATACCCCGAGCTGCACCAATCGCGATTTTTAGCCTGCTTTCCCAGTCCACGTTAGCACGAGGTTCACCATTTCTTCCTGGAAAATATCGGAGAATGCATAAGATCATCATCACTCAATATCTAATATTCACGAGTAGCCTGGGCCATGATGTTTTGATTGAAGCAATAAACACAGCATAATTAAAAAGACAATCATGGGTCCAACGTACCATGTAAGAGCGAATATACGCTCCCCCAACCGTAATAATCATAAAGCATGAGCCTTTCATCTCCCGAACAGTAGTAAGCCCGCAATGAAACCACGTTCGCGTGCCTAACGCCTCCAACAATCTCCATCTGTCGATTGAACTCCTTTTGTGAAACACTCGTCAGGTCGAGTCTCTTGACCACGATTCTTACCCCGTTGCCCATTGTAGCAACATAAACGCTCCCGAAGGTTCCCCTGCCGAGAAACTCAGAAGAGGCCAGCTGCCCATGCTCGAAATTGATTGATTGAGTGAAATCCGAAACAAAAACCAGCTTTGGAATCCGAAGTGAGGGCATCGAGTTGAAGCTAGAGCTAAGATCCGAAGCTTCGGAAAGGACGCTGGGGCTCCTCGAATGATCGTGAAAAAGCTGCCATAGCTGTTGTTTCTTCAGAACAGCATCAACAAGCCTCTCCCAGTTGTCATAAATTGCAGACATCTTTGCCTAATGCCTGAAACTGCTAAACTATAAATTTAATTATCAAAGCTGCTACACTGGAAGTAATTAATAAAAGAGTTCACCAAAAGTGATTAAAATCACTTGGAACTAGCACTGTCAAACGGGTCGGTCCGGCCCGGCCCGCTCCGGCCCGTGCTGGCTCGCGGTCCAAACGGGGCGGGCCAAAATGGCCCGCATTTCTGCG